GAGTTGTCTGCTAGACTTAGAAGTGAGATGTGGAAAGACAATTGACACATGAATGTAAACCTTAGGAGAAAGAAGGGGTAAACTTGGGAAGTTTTGCTTTTCAGATTTAATATAAAACCAAGAAACCAGATAAAATCACTGAGGGATTTATATAAAGAGGAATGGCACTGGAGGTGTGGCTCAAGTGGTGCCTTTCTAGCAAAGCCCTGAGTTCAAACCCCACTACTGCCCCCCCAAAAAAAAATGAAAAGAAAGAAAAAAGATTAAGAAGTCCAGAGAAACTCCAACTTTAAGGGATCTGAGAATCAGAATTCCTCTCCTCATGGGGACTCTGTGTGCAGTGATTGCAAACAGCAGCCTGCTTTGTCGTGCTTGTAGCCTGTTGTTTGTAGGGGTTGCTCCATAAGGGACCTTGGTGACAGTTTTCTAGGGGATGTCTCTTATCTCACGCTTTCCCCAATCTAGGCTCCAGACAGGCAATGCGGGATACCTTTGGGAAGCCTCGGGGCAGAGTTGCTAGGGTTCACATAGCAAACATGATTAACAGATAATCTGCACCAAGCTACAGAGAAAGGACCACGCCTACGCCTGAGTTCAGTTTCCTGGCCTCCAGAAGATCCACATCTCAGAGAAGTAGGGCTTTTACTGAGTTTGATGCAGATGAATTTGAAGACATGGTAGCTGAGAAGCAGCTCCTCCCTGATGTCTGTGAGGGATGCATTCCTAATCATTGTACCCTGGATAAGTGGTGGGCCCTGCACTTTTGAGGCCTTCCCACTGTGCTGCTCCCTCCTTAATCACCTTAATTGTGCTCAACAATAAATCCTCTTGTCCACCTTGTAAAAGAAAGGTCTAAGAGAAGAGAAGTAGTTGACAGGTTGACTGATAAGAAGAAACCATTGAGGTAGAAAGGAAACCAAGAAGTACGTTTTCCTGGAAGCCAAGAATATCAAGAAAGGAAGGATTGACCAACTACATTACGTAATTACGACAGGTCACATAATCTGAAAACTAACAATTGTCTGCCGAATTCAGCAATGTTAAGGGTTCATTGGTTAACCTTGAGAAGGGATGAACAGGTTAAGGGGAATGACAAGGATGATTGCAATGGATCTGAAAGAATAGTTAGTGTAACAATAGAAACTAAAAGAGAGGAAATGGTAGCAAGTGGAATGTATGAAAGTGAAAGTTTAAGTTTTTATTAATGACAAGAACCTAGGGTATGCCATGGGAGTAAATGGATAAGGTCAGATCAGTGGGTAAGAGAGACCTGCTGGTGTGAGATCACCTACTTATACTCCTAGACGCCCATTTTGCAGGCTTGGGATGCTGCTGGGAGACTCACCACTAGGTGTTTGCACAGAGGAGTGAGGCCTGTTGGTCTCAAGGTGGCAGAGCTGTAGATGTGTTGGGGCAGGGAGGGTTAGTGAAGGGAAGGCTCACTTTTCCCCTAGACCCACAAACTTTGGGAGATAAAGAAGAGCCTAGAAAGGGCTGCCAGGGGAGAATTCTCATTAGTGGTGACTCAACTTTCCACTGGACAAGAAGATTTTAAAGAGATTGAGGATGTCCAGGGAATTTGACAGTATTGGGCCATGAATTCCAGAGGGCACAGAAAGAGAGTTGCAGAGTTAGATAAAGGATAAGGAGAGATAGGGTTTGTGCAGTACTCTGGGTATGCTGCCAGTGGAGTGACATTGTAGTGTAGGACTTCCTGAGCTGATGTAAATACAGTGGGCAAGGAGGTAGGTTGCAGTGATTTTAGAAATTGTTAGAGAGGCTTTAAGAGGGGTAGAGGAGGGATAGCTGTCAGAAGTTCCTTTTTAACCAAGTCAAAGGGTGACCTGGGGAAGAGAGGTGTCATCTCTCCTGGAATCCTTGCTGAGTTTGATTAGGAGCTTACCTCTGGAAATGAGGGGAAGGAGTCCACTGGAGGTGTGGACTTGGACCCACACCTGCAGTTTGTGTCTCTGTTCCTATCAGAAGAAGGATCAGGGGTACAGACATCTTGTGTTGCTGGGGGAGGTGGGGGTTCTTGACTCAGATTGGTAGAACCAAGGGACTAGCTCTAAAGCTTTTTGGTTTTTAACCTGAGATTTGGCATTCCTAGAGAACTGATTAATGGAGGGAGAAAAAGAGGGGAGGAATGGAGCTATTGTGAGCTAGACCAGTATCTTACTGACAGCTTTTCATGGTCATGACCTCACTTCATTAAAAAGAAAGCCAGGGAAAACCAGGAATTAAACTGCGCACTCGGGCTTCCTTTGACCCCTCTCATGGGCTGGAGTGGGAAAGGAGAGTAGGAGGCCTGGGAAACAGGGCAGAGCAGCAGGAAGAGAGGCCTCTCTTGACCTCTGAGGCAATGCTGCCCTTGTTCCTTTTTGATCTAGTGAGGAGTATTCAGCCTTAGGTGTTTTCTGTCCTATTATAAGTTGTGTCCATAAGTGAAGAGATTTTTAGTGGGCTTTTTCCCTTTGCCTTTCCCTTTGCCATATCTTGAGTTTTTAGTTTATCCTTGGGAAATAGGACACATCTTTGGTTAATAGACATTTGAGGTACACGAAATGAAATGCTGTGAAAGTAATTCAGATGGAACTGACAGGTAGGAGAATGGGGCTCAGCTGCTCCCAGCTTCTCTGCTTGATGGCAGTCCTGCAATAAATAATCAGAAACTGGGTGAAATGATAGCAAATGTCAGTTTAAAGTTTTCACTTGTCAAAACTCAAATTGTCTTATCACTGAACCATTGCTGGTCCAAATTATGCTACCTTTTATCTTCCTGTTGTTTGGAAAACATTCTTCCCCACCACCATCTCCTCCCTTTTTTGTGCTGAGCTGTTATTAGAATGTTTCACAGACAACTTGTTCATTTCATAAAAGGAGGTTTAGTTTGGTCAGAAAGCAGTTTTTAGACTCTTCTGTTTATTAGTTTTAGTGCCTGTCATCCATAGTCCCGAGTTCAAAAATTGGAGACCCTCTCAGTAAAGGACCTTCTTTTCAGTTTTGTGAAGCGGTTGCTCTCATTTTATCTGTGCAACAAAGATAAAATTCTCAATAACATTAAAGTTTTATTTGTCTGAGGAGCCATTATGATGTATCTTCTGGAAAAGATCAAGGTTCACTTAATGTAGTGTTGAGTTTCTTAAAGGCATTAGCCAATGTATTTTCACAAAATGAGAATTTATTTTGACTACTTTGAGGCCAGATGCTGTGGTTTAGCCATTGAAAATGATAGAACTGATGGGGCGAAATCAGCATCCAGACAGCCCCCTCATTGGATAGCTGGACGCAGAGCCTGTGGTCTGTGGGCAGGCAGAACCCCGCTCTGCAGGAGGCACCAACATTGAAGGCCTAATTAAGATGCAGTTATCTTGACTAATACTTGACACCAGTGTTGCAACAAAAAGGTTTTGTTGAGTCCGAATTACTGTTCACAGACAAAATCTACTTTAAAAGCATCCTCGTAGTTACAGTATCTTGTTTAGGAAAGATATATTTGTTGTGTTGTTTATGTTGGGTTTATTATCTTTTTGAATGTGGAAAATTATCTGCTCTTTTTTTAGCCAGTACCTCTTCCTTCTCTCTGTTTATTATGTTTATTATGGCTCCCATTTCCTCTGCCTCTTCCTTCTCCTTGGCCTTCTTTCACCCCCATCCTCCTGAGCCTTGAGAACACTGCTCAGCACTGCATTCCCCAAGCAGCCATCCTAGAACAAGTGATGGAGGTTTTCTGCTCCATACCCCAGTCCCTCCACACCGGCTAGGAGGATGAGAAACAATACATGTGAGCCGCAATGGGAAGTGGCCTGCCCTGCTGGGAGGATTCTCTGTGAAAGTTTCATTTAGGCTAATGTTTGAGTAGGAAATAGCTTGGAGGAGAGGAGAAAAGAGCATTTCCGTCAATTATTCGTGGTACAGGAATGACAGCTCTCCCTCCTTGGATGTGGTGATACCTCCAGGTAGATCTCAGCAGCCCGGAGGAGACACTCAGAGCACAGATCACATCTCCACATCTGGTCGCCTGAGGTGTGAGATGCTACACAGGGTCATTTTCCATTGTGATTAGAACGTTCTTACTTGATTGTTTGAAGTTGAAATAAAGGGGATGATTGCTTTCCTACAAAATTAAGTAGAGTAAGAAAGTGACCGAAAGATCTTTTTTAGATGCTCAGAATGCTTATAGTTCAGCAATCTAGCCTTTATAGAAAGCTATACCTATAAAAATAGGCACAGTTCAAATATGTTGTGTACATTTAGTCTGTTTTTGCGTTCTCTTCAGAATAGCAGTAACAGCCTCCCTCCCCTTTGCTACATCAAGGGCAAGGACATTGTATATTAGCACATAGTTTTGCTTGTACTTTGAAAAGACAGTTGGCTGCAGACTTGTGATCACCTGAGAGACTATTAATACAGCTGCTTTCCTACTACACATAACCCTGATGCCCAGATGTATTTTGTCCACCATTCTGATGGTAATTGTGCTAATGAAATCAAACATCTCAGCCCTATTTTTAGTGGACTGTAAAGTGAGGTCCCTGCAATTCATGCAGCACCAGGTGGTTTGGTAGGTAGGTAGGTAGGTAGATAGGCAGACAGGTAGGACATGAAGAAAAAATGCATTTTGTGTCCATTGGTGCCTGCTGCATTCTGCATTACTGCAGCACCTGGAGCAGCCCAGCCTTCATTCTCAGCCCCCAGTGTTAGCTCTTCCCCCACAGATGACCTGCTTCCCTCATGACCTGTAGACCTTCCTGTGTGGTGATTGCCAAGTTACAGCTAAGATGTCAGACATATTTGCCATGTGGAAAATTGGGGAATTAAGAGTGTTAAGTGTAAGTTCTGTCTTAGGACTCGTCTGTCATCTCAGTGGGAGTTTATTTGATTTTTAGTCCTTTTTATTAGTGCTAAATTTATTTAGTTTTATAATACTTCATTGGGTATGATTTAAACTCACAGCCAAAACATTTTTTGCTAATGGTACTTTTTTGTTGTTCGTGCAGTGGAGCAGATTACTATGACTATGGACATGGACTCAGTGAGGAGACTTACGACTCCTATGGTGAGTGAGCAGCCAGAATCACCATCCAGAGAAAGGGCAAGTAGCCATGAAAGACCTTAAAGATCCTAACTGGAGGGAAATTCATACTTGTTTTGACCATGAATTCATTTAAACTGTGACACAACAGCCTCCTCTCAGTTCATATCTGCATATTTAGCTATTTTCAGAGGCTCCTTTAATATTTAAATTTAATATTTAAAAAGAACTGAAGACTTGCAGAAAATTGCATGAATTCAGATTCTGAACTTGAATTTCCTGTTTGGGTTGATTACCATGTGCTGATCTTCCCACTTTGAATACTTTGCCATACTGCAGACAAAGGTCTTTCTGAAGTGTCTTTGCTCCTTGACACTGATGTGAAATGAAGCAACTGAGACTACAGATCTAATGTGATTCTCCCCCACTGTTTGTTTTAACTCATTCCCATCCCAAATCCTCTGAACACTGGGAGGTGTTCCATAAAGGATCTATTGGGCTTATATGGAGACAACTAAATTCCTCTTCATTCAGAAAGAGCTGTAGAGATGCTGGGGAATCTACATCCAGAGTCACAATATGCAGAAGAATGACAGGTTTAATTAAAAGAATTGACGGCAGTGACAAAAATAATAGTAAGAAGTGCCTTTGCCGCAGGGCAAAGAGATCAGAGAACAGGAAGCTTCAATCAGCTACAAACCTCCGAGAATGCCTAGCACCCAGTACAAGTGAATCAGGATCATGGTTAATGGATGCTATGACATTTCTCTGAACATAACTGAAAAACCATTTTCTAGTATTCCTTTGAAGTGCATTTTGTTGTATCACCTGCCCAGAGCTGTGATGACTGTACCTTGGATTTTTTTTTTTTTTTGGTTATTCATAACACTTAAGAGAAATGCATTGGCTTGCTGAATGCTGTCGACTTAAATTGATGCAAGTTAGCTTGAGGGAGTGACATTGATTGCATGTTTGTATCAAAAGGAGAGGTCATTTTAAGCATTTTTCTTTCACAGCTTTTTAAATTGGTCTCTGTGGACACATGGCTTTTAGATTGCTGTATGTTGCAGCAGGGAGTTAACTGTTTGGTGTGCAGACCTGTAAATAACTCCCTCAAAGTTCTGAAGCTAGATGGTTATTTAATTTCAGGAGATAAGATGATAGATTGACCTTTGTTATTAACACAATTGTCTAGTATGGATTTGTATTATAAAGAATGAAATTTGACATCATCTCCTTAATCTTGTTCTATTTTCATGGAGTGTTAATGAGGTGCAAATTTCCACCCAGTGCACTGTCTGAAGTCTTTCTATGTAAGGAGCTACGAAGTGAGGCAGCCTTTCTCTTTCTCAGTCTGCCTCCAGTTTTTCCTCTTTTTGTTTTTACAAATTGTCTGTGCTTTTTCTTTTTCACTGTTGGAAGAAATTTAAGTAATTCTCTCCATTCTCTTTCCCACTCATAAATAATCAACTTGCCCCATAACTGTGAGCTTTAGTTGTTGAATGAGTAGCAAAAGGAAAGTTCTTGCCTTCCAGATCCAAAGATCACTTTTCTTCCCAGGCTGATAGTTTTGCTGGGAAGACAGCCACTTTCCATTACGTTTGCTATTTCTTTTAAGTAAATTCCCTTGTGTTTCCCTTATGGGTACATCAGTGATATGTGTCTTCAAATGACAGCTGACAGATGAAGCCAGTGGGATCCGTGGCAGTGATCTAATGGTGATTCATCTTACTGCTTTTAGGGCAAGAAGAGTGGACTAACTCAAGACACAAGGCACCTTCAACGAGGACTGCAAAGGGCGTCTATAGAGACCAGCCATATGGCAGATACTGATTGTACTGTCTGATGTTGTGAAATAGCCAATCGCCACCCGTCCTGTATACTGTTCAAAGTAATTTTTTCTATGAACAATCCCTTTTTAAATAAATCAAAATGCGTAAAACCTGAATGGATGGAACTTAAAACTTTGTTTGAAACATCAACTTGGTCAGGGAAAAAAAAAAAACATGTAAAATTTTGTTATTTCCAGTCTGTATATGAAAAAAATAGGTCATCAAAAGGAAAAAAAAAACTTTGATTAACTAGTGTTAAACAAAAAGATAGGTTTACTAAATATGTTAATCCATTCTTTTAACATAAGCCTCTCCTTTCATTTTAAAGGTTTCCATAGAATTTAGTTATTTTATCTTTCAGCCATATGCTAGTTTTTTTTTCTCTTGCCAACATGCGTAAAAAGGGAAGCCAATTACAAGTGCAAATAATGTGGTATTCTTTTGTAACTCCAGTCTTGAAATGTTCTGTAGTGTTAAGCAAAGTCTCCTCTTGCTTGATACTAAATAAACTTTTGAAAGAAATTTCGTGTGTGTGAGCTAACAATTTCATGTTTTTCTTATTTAAAAAGGCCTTCATAAATAGTCGTAAACAGGGAAAGAATTCCTTTAACAGTGCTTGTCATAAAAGGGTCACACTAAATATTGTACAACTTATTTTAAAAGTGGTATAAAATTAAATGTACCATTATATACTCACCGTAGATCTAAATGCTGTTTAAAGAGTCCAACGGTGTCAAGCTGCTTGAGTGGCACGTTAAAACTACGCAAAACCAAATCTTGTTTAAAAACTGGTTTTAAAATAACTACTGGATTTTCTGGAAGAGATGTGATCAGTTTTCATCTTGTTGAGCGTTTTTTCACTAGTGCAACTTTGGATTTTTTATGAGACTTTTGGTACCTTAATGAACACCTCGCTCCATGCTGGAAGCAATAAGCACAAAGCTTTTAAAGACATTCTGACTTGACTAATTGAGGTCGCACTCGCCAAGGCTGAGGATGTGTAACCCTTAAACGGTCTTCATTTTCAAAGGTAAATAAATCAAATAAGATTTTAATCTCACTTAATTTATCTTAATATAACTAATAAAACCAGGGAGATTACAACTTAGCAAGTTTCATTATCCATTTTAGAAAGGTTTTAAGATCACCTAAATTCTCATTTTAAAAAGTTTAATTTGTTTTAGTAATCTAAAAAGCCTTAGTTCAGTTAGTTTAATTGGGGCCAATTATTCCCTATTAAACAAATGTAAAACCTCATAACTAGTTATTTGTAATACATGATTTGGTTAGTCATTGAGGGCATTCTTAAAACAGACAAAGAGTTAATAAAGCTATTCTTTAATCATTTGACTTAAGTTTTAATTGTAGATTACGTAAAATGTTTAATTTTTATTTTTGAGGGTTTTCTCCTGTTTACTTTGAGTAACACTATCTCTTCTTTTGTTAGGAAATGTCAGCCACCTTGGGATGTCTGAGGAACTGTTTGTGACTTGGAGCAAACAAAGGTAAGTGCCCCTTTGTTCCAGTGATTCTGAATTGCTTAGGAAGGTAAAAGCAATCCCATCTCTGTACAGCTGCATGGGAGATTCTCGCTCCACTTTCCCTTGGCCAGCACTAGTGACTGTGGCCAACTAACTCCTCAGGCCAGAATAGAGGCTTCCTGTGTGAGAACAAGTCAGATCAGGAAGCTTTATGGTAAGCCACAGAGAGTGCAGGCTCAGGCCATTGCAGTAGTTAAGAGTTCAGATCACTTTCTTCAGTGACAATATAATAGTCTAGTTAATAACATGAAAACATTTTCCAAATTATTAAATCAAAAGCTGCCAAACTTAATGTTGAATATGAACCCAATTTTATTCTTATGCATGCATATGTATGCATGTACAAAAAATTACACAGATATACGGAAAGTTTTGTTTCATTTGGGGGAAGGGTTGAGATAGGGTCTCTCTGGTTAACCCAGGCTGGCCTCAAATTTGCCACCCTCCTGCCTCAGCAAATGCTAGGATTGTAGATACGTGCCATCACCACAACTGGCTATGCAGGAAATTTTGGCAAGTAATTATCCTGGGCTAGTAGAAGTAGGATTCCTTTTTGAGTGTGTGTGTGTGTGTGTGTGTGTGTGTGTGTGTGTGTGTGTACTTCTGAGTTTTGCAAAACAAATTATTATTTTTATAAAATAAATATTGTAACAGGTATTTTACAGAAATAGTTTATAATTTATTTTTAAATCTGGAGATCTGTAAAAGAAAGGCATCATTTATCTTGTCTCACTTTCAGGTATTTTTCTTTGTTCTAAATCATCAAAACCACACTATGCAGCGCTAATCTTTCCCAAAGTCATACTTGTTAAGAGTTTATATTTGAGCTCTGCCACTTAACTTTGTGCCTTTGCACAAGCCTCCCTTTCTGTAGTATTAACATTGAAAATTGTGCTTCTCTCATATATTTATTTGTAAGACTTTAGTTGATAAAATATTTGTGAGAGTGCAGTTTGTCAGAATTGAGTTTGCATAATTAATATAAGTGAGAACTATATAAGCTTCTGTTTTTCTTAGTAGCTAAAATTAGCTGAAAGAGCTAAATTACTCACAAAAAGAAAACAATTCTGTCATTCTAACAGATCGAAATAAGTAAGTTCACTAGGTTTTGTTTGTTTGTTTGTTTATGTCTTCTTTGCGTGCACAGAAAGGGAATGCAGCAACATACTCTACATCTCCTTAGCATGTAATGACGGAGTTTTTTGCTATTTTTTTCTTTAGTTTTTTGTTGTTGTTGTTGTTGTTTTTAGGAATTGCCATATCAAATAATGAATGTAGGCTTCTTTCTTTGATGGCTTGGTCAGTAAAAAGTTTATTATATAGTTCAGTGGGTCAGAAATCTGATGCTGGGTCCCAGTCAAGATATTGGCAAGGCTGCATTCCATTCTGGAGGCTCTGAGGAGAACCTCTTTCCTTGCCCTTCTAGCCTGTGGAGACCACCTGCATTCCTTGGTTCAGAATCACAACTCCACCTATAAAACCAACTGAGACTTAGACAGTCCTCTTCACACTGCCATCTATATAGTCTTCTTCTATCAGAAGTTAAGGATAAGCAAAGGATCAACTCCCAGATGGTCTTCTGATCTAATTCATGGAAATTATTGTACAATTTTAAGTTCATTTTCATTTATTAAATGAACCCTTAGCTTTATCATACTGTGACAAGGGACCCAGATGCCAAGTACCCTCTGAGACAGGGCTCTACAGCTTGGCTCTTGTGTTAGCAAGGTTTCAGAGGTTTCAATTTAACGTGGTAGGGAAGACTTGGTAGAGCAGGTCACATCATAGTGGACAGGAAGCAGAAGCAGGAAGGGACCAAGGAAAGCAATATATTCCTAAAGAAACCCAGGCCCTGCTTTCACTTTTCTACCACCTCACAAGAGTCTGTTGAAATTTTGAATCCATCAGTGGATTAAACCATTCTTTAGGTCAGAGCCCTGGTGATCCTATCTCTCTGGAAATATCCTCACAGACACATTCCCCAGGTGCGCTTTACAATCAAGTTGACATCCAAGCCTTGCTTCTTCCTGTTGCCGCAGGAACCCTGCTGAGGAGGAGCAAAGTCTCTTCATGTCTCCAGGAGCACAGTGTGTTGTCCCCCAGTCTCTTCTTCCTAACCCCTGTCTTCCCCATGGAATCCATTTATTTTCTCATGTGACAGCATGAGAAGGTGATAAGAAGGTACACACCACTGAGCATCATCCAGACATCATGATTTATCATTGCCCCTTCTCTGCCCCTAACCCACCCCTGCCCCAGGTTCCTGTGTGAAGAGATTCTTTGATTTTCTTGAGATCCTGGATCTTCTTGTACTCAAGGTATTCCAGGTCAAATTAGTTTCAGTTTCACTCAGATACATTTACTGAGCATCTGCTCTGCTGGAGGCACTAGGAATACAGTGATGGGACATCATCCTGTCCCTGTGGGCACAGTGTGCTGGGGAAAATGAGCATGGAAGGAGCAGACAGGGCTCTGACAGTACATGAGTGGTACTTTATAGGCACCCAGAAGAGGGATGCATAACCCTGGCAGGGTGGTTAGAGGTGGAGAACGTGCCAGCAGAGGTATCAAGGCCAGAAGAAGAAAGATAAGCACACAGGGAAGGAATTCTGGAAGCATTCGTATTCTAGCTCTGCCACTGATCTGTGTGGTAACATTGGGTAAGTGGCTCAGACTCTCTGAACTGCAACTTCCCCACCCATGAGATGGGCACAATAATGATATCTTCCTTAGCGCTATGGTGAAGATTGGAAGTGTGCCTGGCGCAAAGAAAGACATTTCCTCTTACTTGCTGATAGGTGTATGTATTTGAAATTTTAAGAAAATGCGATCCTCTAGGAAACTTCGATTATATACTGACTAGATAGACAAGACACACATAATGATGTCATAGGTCCTGTGAAGAAGCTTAGGGAACATGAAACCATCTTAAAATATAACAGTCTTCTCTTCCCCTTTAAACTCGCACTACTCTACAAGGCAGAGATAGAGCTTTTTAGACTGAACACGTTCTAAAAAGAACTTTGGACAAATCTCCCTTTGCACTTGTCAGTGATCCTTCAGCCAGACAAACAATTAGTGCATCAGAAAACCAGGTGCCCTGACTTCCATCCTCACATCCCAGTCTTGTCCCACAGCATTGGACAGTGGGGTTTAGTGAGTCAATGCTAGAGAATGACATCATCATGCAGTCAGGTCAGTGTGATCCCTAACAGGCAATGTTAGGTTAGCTGAGATCACCATCGACCACCCCCACAAAAAACCAAAGTCGTGTTAACAACATTACAATTCAGACAGTCCAGATCCCTCATTTTAACTCAAAATTAGAGACACTAGTCACTGTGTACAGAGATGGGTCCCATATAAAACTTGATAATTTAAAGCAAACGTCAAAAAGCAAGAGTCAAAAGTTTAACCACAATGTGCACCATTATATAGAATATAAAGTGATGAACATAAATAATAAAGCTTATTTTCTATGCACTTCCATCTTCAATTGGAAAACACTGGATCATTTTTCAGTCTACATTCTCCCCCACTTATCTAATGGAAAATCCTGCCCATCCAAAGTTGGTTCTGACCAGGATTACCATGTCAGAATCTCATCGGTTTCTGTGGGTGATTAGCACACGTGCCGAAATTGTTTCCAGATTATCATGTGATGAGTCCATCAGTGAGGCCAGTAGCTTTGGGGATAATGCTCAGAACCCTTGGCTGTCAACACAAGCCCTTCGTGGTCTTGCTGCTGTCTCTCAGTTTCCTGTACCACACACTGCCCTCCGCACTCCTGCTGTGCTGCAGCCCAGCTGTTGAAAACCCCTCAGAGCACTTCTATATCTCTGCCACTCTGCCTGAAATCACGTGTCCTTGCCCTCCACCACCCAGCTCTTGAGCTGCCTAATGGTTTGGGCCATGAAATTCAAAGTGAAACTTTAAGCATCACCTCATCAAGGAGGCCTTCCCTGGCCCACTGTATCCACA